TGGGATAGTCACTCTGATGCCCATGTAATGTCCTCGAATCGTTCTGTGATGATATGTCTGTGGGATCGTATAAGGACGGTCTAGTGCACTTTGAGTAGAGGGTATCATTATGTGACTAGATGAGCGTAGTTGCGATCTACAAAGGAAATCGAGGGCAGAGGCCGTGTTGCTGCTGCGTGGAGCGATAACGTCGGTAGGTGAGGTTATTCGTATTGGTAGCAGCTCGGTGTCTGCGTGAGGTAGGTGAATACCACGCTAGGTTGACACGCAGCGGCCACGCGGCTAACTCGTCATAGAGTACTTTAGTCTGCACCTCTACGACAGTAGTGGCATTAAGAGAGCTGTGCGCCATTTCAAACGCAGGGATTTGTCGGTTAGCCGATGCGGACGCGTACGTGGAGAGGTTATGGTGTATCGGACCGTGTTCCACTCTCGACGAGTCGTGAGTAAGTGAAGTCAGATCATGGCAGCTATAGCGCCGCGGCCCTCTTCATCATCGTGTCGTGGCCGACCTAAAAGTTGGTTGTCGGTGAGTTGCGGACTCTGGTCGATAAAAATGCCAAGGACGGTTTCGACACGAGCCGCGCTTGTGGAAGGCGGCGCCAGGTCTAACCCCAGTGCGAGCTAGGGCTAGGCGATTGTTCAGATGACAAGAAGAATAATGTGTAATGGTCTTAACCGAATCTGTAAGTGTTTAATGAACACGTACCTCCGGTACCAGGCTCCGATGCCATCGTGTGTTCGCGCTATGCGTACTTAGGACGAGGGTATCGCGAAACCAGGCGATGCCTGGCATACCACGGAGATAGTAGAAGCCGCGCCAGATAGGGTGAGCGTGACAGACACACATGCCACGCGGCCTGATCGTCCGCCCGTGAATTGGTAGGACTAGAACCACACACCGCTGTGTGTTCGCGGCCATACCATATCCAAGCCCGAGAAAAGGACAGTGACCCGAACCCGCGTGAAAGTCCCAGCTGACTTGTTAAGAGTGCGAAAAAAGGTACTACGCGATGCGCGCTGTAGCTCGCAAGCATACTCTGATACGGGATTAGCTGAATCTGACGGTGTGTAACAGACGTGAAGTTGAGCGGTGCTGTCTGCCTTTGTCGGCAGGCGCGGGAAGGGAGAGGCCGACGGCAGAGGAATGGGCGCGATGTTGATACCTAACGAAGCGGTTTTTGTGGAGTTTGTTGCAATAGAAGCAGGCGTGGCGCCTAGTCTGGAGCCCGCTAGTTCAGGAGAGGCCTGAACTCATACCTTGCTAAGTGGCCACATAGAAAGTGTGGCACAGGGGCTGGATGCCAGAGGGGGGTCCGAATGGGGCAGTCCGCCGGACCCCACCTCACCGGATGCCCGACCCCGCACCGCCGATCGAACTTTGTACTGGATAGCCTGCATTACTTTCTCGCCGCCCAGGCCCGCCAACGGGCCCTCGCCCCCCGCCCCGCCCTTTTACACAAAAAAAGGAGCCCCAAAAGAAGTCATACACAGCACCTCAGTGCGCCGCCGCACCCACGTCCACGGGCCGCACGCAGGTGCACGCCACGACCGGTGTGTATTATCGCGCCGGGCCGCCGGCCGGGAGCCCGACGCGTGAGACACACACTACCACGCATCGCACGCACGCACGCACAGCGAACAGACACACACATCACCACACACACGCACATACACGAACACACACACACACACACCCACACACACACAAGGCTTCTCTGTAAGTTCTCCATGAAAAAATCTTAGTTTAAGCGAGCTAGTTTCTGATAAAAGACTACCTAAATAGGTAAATTCGTTATAAAAACCATAGAAATGGGCAAAGAGGGGTCCGCAAGCGTCCGAGACCGGATGCTGACTTGATAAATATTGCATTCTAGACATCCAAAATTACTGCTCAGATGCCTCCAAGAATGCAACACAATGTTTTTTTTAAACCCCCCGCCTCTTGGCGGGAGTCCCCCCAAAACCCCCCCCCTATAGTGCATTCGGCCAGCTTTTTAGAAACACGCCAGTAAACAAGTATAACACCAAAAGTGCCCTTTATTTCTTCCTGGACACCCCCTTTTCAAAAATCCTGGATCCGCCCCTGTGTGACATATAGTTATCACCTATAGTAACCGTTACGTAGCGTAACCGCCTACCCATCTTCGAGTGTATCTCAAGAACCAATTTATTTTCACGCATTACTTGTATTAAAAACATAACACATCGAACATTCACATGCCATATATATCATTATTTAGCACATGAAGTGCTCGTGTCTGTAGAATCTGCTTTAGTATATGAAAAATGACAGGTCTTCGAGAATATACTGTTTGAAAAACCAAGTATTAACCTCAGCTACGGTATATTTCACGTGTATATAGAAAATAAGCATGAACACACCTACTGTTACGGGACCAACGAGAGATGCTAGTCCGCCAAAGCCAAGCCGAAGTGCTAGGGCGTCCTTATACAGATCCACACCAGACATATCCATCAGAACGATGAAGGACGTTACCATGTATCCAGAGGTGACTACTCCCAGGAGGGCACTGTTTATTATTTGCAGTTGCGTAGTACGCATTAACGGATACATAATTACGAAGAATCCTATGCCAAACATGAACCCTGTTAAACCCGCCAGCCTGCGAGTGGGTTTGCGCATGAAGCTGATGTCCCACATGGAGCTCAATGGAAGTCGGAAGATGGTCTCAGAAAGACCAATAATGGACACCAGTGTAGCGGCACTAAAACCATCACTGTCTGCTATCTCCTCGCCTCGCGTCGGTAGCAGAATGAAAATGGACTGATAGGTAATTTGTGCGAAAAACAGCGTCATGCAATACACAAATGTGCAAGAATCTGTGAAGATCCGTTTGTCCAAGATAGGCTTGCTGTTTTTGATAGAATTTCGCATCCTAGCGAAGCAGGATTGTGTGCTTATCTCTCTGCACATGCTATACGCATATAGATCCATAATTTAATAATATTATTTATTCTAGATATTTCTAACCGTGCACAACAATGTTTGAAAGACAAGTAGATATAACTAATCCTAATATTAGTAACTAGCTGCGGGTACCCGCTGCGCTGGGTAAAATCGTGCTACTAATTCATACTACTAATAATCGGACACAATAGGAACATTGGGTAATAATGGAGAATAACACTGCACACAATATCAATATTTACAAATCAGTTTAATAAGATAATAAGCATGGTAAAAAAACGGTTAAGTATAACATTTATATCACAGCACAACCCAACTTAGAACCCCTGGAACATAATAGTAATATCGTGTAAATGACAAAAAATTGTTATAACAGCATGTACGAATGGGTTGCACTTCTCATTTGAAAGCCTCTTGATAAACAATGCAGTCGTAACCTCTCAACTGGTCCTGGTTGTGCTCTGTTTTAGTATTGGTTTCGGTTTTGTACACGAACACATACAAAATATATACATACATACTACATACGACAGCCTAGGTTTCGTCCATATTGGAACCCGTCTGGCGTCTCTCCTCTCTGGCTCTCTACATCGTCTATGTCTCTCTAAAATCTTATATATCTTTTCTGCTTGTCAATTCTTGTTTATATATAGCAGCTCGAAATCGGATCTAGCAAAAACTACTTTGGCAAAACCAGACCTTGGCTGGAAGCAGCACGCAATGCCCGCTTGTAGGTGCCTGTGTCGCGTCACCTATCCCTATTGCAAGGCGATGCGGGAGGCGCGCCCGTCCATTGTCGTTGCGCGCCGCGTCAACCACTCCTACATGCGCCAGGTGTGACGTGCCAAGCGTCACAACCTATTGCCACCGCTTGCTGAATACAATAATTCCCTTGACCTCTCTTGAAAAGTTCATGTTCTCATGAAAAAGTATTTCCAATTAAAAACGATATATAATAACTATATTCCAAAATACCGCTACCTAAATAGAATAAACTGGGAACATAAATTGTTTATACGGTGCATTATGACAATAATGCAAGGAACAGTAATACAAAACAAAACAGTCAGCCCCACTGAAATCATATGCTGATATGATGTGCTGAACGTGCGTATACCGTGCTTGCATGTGAGGCGGTTTTCAAGATACCGATCGCGTTTACGCGTGATGGCGATGGTAAATCCTTGAGGTAGAGAAGGGATGGAAAGTCCGGTTTTGAAACGCGTTGAAGGGAAATATTGCTGCACCTGTCTAGTGAAAAAGAGCGCTCATTTTCGTATCACAGGAGGGTTTCGACAGACTACATCGGTAACTCAACTCGTATCGGCAGGGAAGGCAAGGAAGGAGGGCGAAACAAGGATACCATATCTTACCATATAAAACGCGTCAGTAATCGGTGAATTAAAAACAACAACACAAACAAACAATTAAACGACGAAACAAAAACACAGATATCACCAGCTAAGCCATATCGTAAACACAGATTCATTGCCAACTCTTTGTTTATTAAAAATTTGAATTCGTGGTTTTGCTATGTCGTGGTATCGACCAAATGGCATCGGCAGCAGCCGTGACTCAAGAATGACGCGACGCGTGACGAAATCGGACGTACCCATTCTCGGGCGGAGCTGTTTTGGCTCATCGTCTCCTTTAATATACGCACTATGGTGAGTTTGTGCCGTAGTATGCCTCTGTTGGTAGGAATAATAACACGCCGAATGCGGCTTCCCTAAATTGCAACATTCGAGGTCATACTTTAGAAGCGGCTAGGCGTCTCGCCTTTCTCATCGCATAAGCCTAATAATGTACATCTCTCCTTTCGACGCTCTGAGTCACCGTCACGCCGTAATGAAATTCGAATACCACGCTAGCTACAACTACGAAAAATTGCGCGCTGCTCGGTAATTCGCGACTATTTTACTGTTAATCATCAACTATACTCCGCTTTTCACACGTGTCGCCCACTAAGTTTGAGTCGTTGATTGCTGACTCTGCCTAAATAAACCAAACGGCGTGACACTGGCGCTTAAGCGAAAGACTTTTGATAATACGCACAGGATATTGAAGAAATGACTCGTCCGATCTGATGTCCAGTTAAATTGAAAATCTAGTGAGTTT